TTCTTACAACCTGACACCTAAACACAAGCCAACTACTGCGTTCGATGCTTCACAACAGAAATTGCAATCTCTTCCAAGTCTGGAAGGGAAATTGCCGTGTTCGATCAAGCAAAAAATGATTTTATACAATTTCAGAGATTCTTAAGAAATTCTGACAAAATGAAGTCATTATCTTCATGCATATATCAAATGTGGTAATGATATAATAATGGATATTTCTCCTAAATTCTGATACTGGGCTAATTGACAGACATAGATTTCGATGCTATATTACAAGTTTATTTTATTGAGGCTTTATTGGTATTTGGTGGGGGAGGTTTCTTCCAGTGGAATCCCATTGAAACCTTGCAACAAACTCCTAATCATCATCATCATCAAGATCTTTATTGCCAATTATCAATAAAGGTCTTAGGTTCAAAGCAACTTACCTGAAGTCTCATAGTTAGAAAGTGGTGAAGTTCATATATGAATACAGGTTTTGTCTTCAGATTCTATTCTTGGCCCCTGAGCCTACTTTTGCCATGGCCCCCACTGTGTTTGTCCCAATAACATCTCCGCTCCGGGTGGGTGACTAGCCTCCTCCCACCTCAAACCTGCTCCCCTCTCTCAACCTCTTCCCTTTTGGAGAACAGTCTCTAAAATACGGACCCATCTACTCCTCTTGCTCTGCAGCCCTAAAGGGTGCGTGGGTTTGCGTGGGTTAAAGTAAAAATGTGGTTCTGCAGTCCACATTTCAAATGCTCAATAGCCATAAGTGGTGAGTGGCCGCCATATTGAACAGTGCACATCTGTCAACCGTACAATACTCCGTCAACTGTATACCGTTCTTTCAGGCAGCACTGTGCTGAAGCTGTCTTGCTCTAGGCCCGTGTCTTTGTAGCCTTCGTGCTGGCTCTGAATCTGCTCTCCCCAGAACTTGATCTGGCTCTGGAGAAGTCTGGGTGCCTCTGTGCTGTCCAACATGGCAATCACTGATCACCTGGGTTAGTCTGAATTGGCGTGCTCTATAAATATAAAATACACATTGGGTTTCAGAGCCTTCGTATGAATAAAGAATATAAAATGCATCGTTGATAACTTTATGCTGACTGTTGAAATAGTATTTCGATGTATTGGGTTATATAAAATGTATTTTTGAAATTTAATGTTGCTCTGAGAACATGTTCAGTTACGTATGTGGCCTGTGATGTATTTCCACCAGGCCCCTTTGCCCTACGATGTCTCCTTTCCCTGTCTCTTCCTTTCTCTAGATCCATGCTGCCCGATACAATAACCACAAGCCACATATGGGTATTGACATTTAAATTAATGAAAATGAAACAGTTTGAAATTCATTTCCTCGGTCTCATTTGCCACCTTCCACACACTCAGGGGCCACATGTGGTCAGTTCTGCTCTCTGGCCAGCGCAGGAACAGGTGCCTTTTCCATCACTGTGGAAAGTTCAATTGGACAGAGCTGATAAGATTAGGTTGCACACAGTTATGGCCAAACCCACAGAGGTGAGAGGGGCATGAATGCCTAAAGCTTGGGAAGCGTTTCCATGGTGCCTAACTCTGCAGGACAGCATCCTTCCATTCATCTCCCAGACGCCGGCCCCTCCCCTCCTTTGTTAGACTTGTTTATGCGCACCTTATCTCCTCTTTCCTCCTGCGAGGGCTGCAGCGTGCTTATCTCCCTATGAACACACTTTCCTCCACCCTCCAGTGTGTCCTCAGTATCTAACACCCTGCTTCGTACAACAGGGATTCAGTAAATATTTGTTCGCCAGCTGGAGTAGCACATCCTAGCAAGGCATTTGAAATATGTGGCTGAAGCCAGAGGGAGATCCATACTGGCTGGCCACAGGGGGTAAAAAAGAGAGAGAGAAGGTCAGAGCCAGATTCCCATGGGAGAAGGAAGAAGACCTGGTAGAGGGACAGAAAGTAGGAAATCAGAGGGACACTGGTGACCTGGGATCTCATTCACGTCACCAAAGCCCCTCCTGTGCCCGCCGCCCTGGCCCCTCGAGGGCAGCAGCAAGAGTCACAGCAAGGGAATTCCCTGGCTTAGGCAACAGCTGCAAAAAAAAAAGTGCAAAAGAAACCCAAAATATTATTATGTGATAAGTAAACATGGAAGACCCATAAACGCGAGGTTGAAATGGCATGAAAATTAAGGGTCTGGTGGGGAGAAAAATGAAAAACGTCCTCTCCCTGGGCCAGCTGGTTTGAGTTACATTTTATGAGCAGCGTGTGAGCTCCAGCACCCTTGTTGAATTAGCAGCAGAATCGCACATTAGTTTTAAGGCTCCCTCTCGCACAGGAACATCATAACGCTTTTTAATTGGGGCTGATAAAAACGTGGCATTACTTGCAGGTCCCTGAGAGAAGCGAGATGTGAAATTGGGTTTTCATTACACCTAATGATGGAAAATTAAGTATAGTGCGTCTGGTGAAATGGGGTGTGATAAAAGGCATCGCTTCTGCGTTATCGGAGGTTAATAAGGGACTAGGTGAGGTGAGATATGTCGGAACAAAGAGCCCAACTAGTTGAATTAATAAACCTTGAAAATCCCTTGGTTCTGAGTCTTCATAGCATCATTAGCACCAGCATTGACATTATTACAAATGTGACAGCAATACAAGTCGCTCGGTTCCAAATGCATTTATTTTCCATTCCAGTGTTGGTTTTGCTGACACCGAGTTTACAGTCTGTCTAGCCATGTGTTTAGGGAAAATATCCATATTGGTAGCTATTTGGTTTGGGAAACACTTGGCGTCTCACACAAATTGCCAGGTGCCTGTTCCTCAGAAGCCTGTCTCTGCCAGGAAGCCAGTCTCCCAGGCAGCCCATGCATCAAGTCCCTGGGGAGACAGTGGGTCTCTGAAGATATCTCTCCCCATAGCTGGTGGTGGCTTAGGCAGGAGACACTCACAGGGCTCCAGTTCCTCCTCTTCCAGGAGTCGGCATCGCAGAATCTGGAGAAGCAAACTCAAGCACGCCTTCCCGCTCCACCCCTGACCCCACCCCACTGTCCATCACAGCAGTGACGTTCACAGGAAGGATGCCTCCTGTCCATGGCAGCTGACGGGACAGCAGACACCTACAAGAAACAGTGAGAGTCTATAAAGAAAGGGATTCTTCTTAAACCCTTCAGTAGCTTCCTACCAGCTCAGAGGTGCATGTTCACGGCCTTCCTAGACCAACGTCACACCATCTCACACAGCTCTGCCCCTATCACATTTTTGCCCACTGTCTTCAATCCCTATGCCCTCCTTGCTCTCTCCTGGCAGCACTTGGCTTCTCCAGCCCCTGTTCTTGCCCGTTTTCCTACTGGACCATCGGGCCTTGAGGGTGGAATCTGCTTCACTCTGTGCACTGCCGGCACCTACCAGAGTCCCTGGCCCAGAATAGATTCTCAGGGAAGCTGATGCTGACCCCAAGGGTGCAGTGGAGAAGGGCAGCAGCCTCCACATTCGCCAAGTACTACCTTTAAGCCATGCCAGTGATGGCATGTGTCCCTATCACCGAAAATCTCAAGAGACAATGTAATCAGCAGTTGGGAAGGTTGTCCTGGCATCTCACCGGGCCCTTCCTCCTAGTGCACGAAGCTCTAAAATAAACTCTGGATCTTCATGTTGGCAACTCTCTCCTTCCTCGAGACAGGGTTTCTTGTGCTGTCACACAGGAGGGACATTAACCTTCATGCACAGCTTCCGCGTCTGATGCATTGTTGTGACTTGAGAGATGACCAAGCTGAAGGAAGCGTGGACTTTGAAAAGACACATTGCAGAAAATCAGGAATATGTGGTTAAGCCTCCCAGGCAATGGGCATGGCAGAGGCCTGGGGGTTCCTGCAGGGGTGCCTGGCTGTGTCTGAATACGTCTAGGTGGGACACGTCAAATGTGACGTTCTCATCTCATGCATGCCACAGACGGAAGGTCCAGGGTGTACACTGCCCATGTCTTTGGGAGAAGGTTGGGCAGACCAACCCCAGAGGTCCTGGGGAAGATACACTGCCCCTGAAAGACCAGCAGGGAAAGCCTAGCAGGGAGGGGGTAGAGCAAGGAAATGGTTCCCCAAGGGGAACAGAGGAACTCAAATCCAACCTCAGCAGGCACCAGTTTCCAGGGTGACCAAACTAAGAGAGGACAGTTAAAGAAACTCAATGGTATAAAGATTGTTATCAGGGGAAAATACAGCTCTTTTATCAAGGAGAGATGTGAAGAAGGAGATGAGGCATAGAACCCAAGCCCAGGAGAAGTAATTTGTGGAACACAGGTAGAAGTTTGGGTTTCCCCACTTGCAAGGTGGGCTCAGTGAGACTCCCGGACCAAGAGTGTTAAGTGGTGGGGAAGCCAGAGAGCAGGCAAAAGGTGGTCGCTGCTGTGGAACCCACAGCTGGAGAGAGCGGCTGAGCGGTCAGGGCCCTGCTGTTGCTGGGGCCTCACGTCCTCCCTCCCAGTGTGCAACCCAATAGGAACCAGCAAGTATGGACACAGGGACACAGGCAAGTGGGCCAGAAGCACACACACACATGGCTCTGACCTCCAGAAGGCTCTCCTCCCTTGCAGGCAGGCACCCAACCTTTCTAGGCACCCTACTTCCTAAATAAAAGGGCGCCCGCAACATTCAGCCTGTCTGGCTTCTCAGTGGTTCTGGGAATGGTCAAGATTGGCCAAGACCACCCCAACGAGCCTCAAGGAAGGACTAAGATTGGGAAGGGGTGACAGCCAACCTGGACTTTGTCTTTGCTCCATTCAGAGACACCCCCGAGACAGAGCGAACCAAGGGTCGCTGTGTTCATGGGCTTGTTTGTTGTCTTAGGTTTTAAATCTCCCTCCACAGCCATGCTGGGGAAGCAGCGTGTGTGTCTATCTTTTCTGTGGTTCCTTAGCTGTTGAATTCCAAGTTAGTTCCCTCTGCCCTGCTCAGGTCACACTGGGGGAGGGGAAGGCACGGGGAACAGGGGACAAACTCCCATAGGTGATGGTCTGTTCTGCCTCCCTCTCTGTGAAGCAGATGGCAGCCGCGGAGAGCTGGCCCAGCCCACGCTCACGATCCAGACTCACCCCTACCGGGCCTGCGACCCCATGGAGATGAGCTACCCTCGGGACCAGTTCCAGCCCGCCATCCGGGTGGCCGACCTGCTGCAGCACATCACCCAGATGAAGAGAGGCCAGGGCTATGGCTTCAAGGAGGAATATGAGGTAAGGGAGCAGCCCTCACGGAAACTTCCTGATGGGTGCAGAGGCTTTTGCATGCTAAAGCTTTGCTACTCAGAGCAAAGACCCCAGACAGCAGCAGCAGCATCACCTGTTGGAAATGCACCACCTCCAGCCCTGCCCAGACCTACTGAATCAGTTACCCGCATTGTAACCAGAACCAAGCTGATCTGTATACTGTTTAAATTTGAGAAGCTCCATCTAAAAGATTCTGAGACTTCCTTTCCCTCCTTCTTGCTTTCCCAGGCTTTCTCTTCCTCTCATCACTCAGTTATCACCAAAGTTTCTGCACTTGGGCATCATGGCCTCCTCAGTAGGAAGCTAGAGGGGCTCAAGCCCCCAACCCACATGTTGTAGGAAAGCCAGCAGCTCTCCCCAGCCAGTGCTTCTGGGAGGCTTACTTGCTCCTGGCTGCCTCTTGCCTCATTACTATGCATCTGCTGTGTTCTCAGTCCCCCCTCACCCAAGTCAATACCGCCTCTCTGGTGACTACTGTCCTCTCTCTCTGTACCTTCTTCTCACCTCTGCGTTGGACACCCGGTTCTTCACCCACAGAGTACCTATAACATAAAGGATTTGTGAGTAGCAGTTGCTCTCGAGATTTGGGGGATGAGGATGGGGGAGGCTTGCAACAAAGTGCAGAAAGTCCCTGAATACAAGTGGTCCTCACAGGTCTCTGTGCCTGCTGCCCTTCCCCAAAGTTCTTTTTAGTGTCCTCAAAACTTCCTTTTAGTTTTCTTTTTCCAGCAGCCAGGAAAAGGCCTCCCATACTCCCTTTCCTAGGCAGAACAATTTTGCTCCCTTTGTCTCAAACCTTGCCCCTTAGGCATCACCTTTCACAAACAAAAAGTGAAATAAAATTGAAGGGGAAACTCATTAAGATGTTTCCGTGAACTAAAGAGCACCCCACCTCCCCAGAGGAGCCCTACCCCCCTCGCCTGCTGCTCGGAGTCCAGCTGCAGCCAGCTTTGAAAATGTTCTTCTTTTTTTTTTTTTTTCACTTTTCCTTCCCTCTCCCTCTCCTCCTCCCTTCCTAAAATAGTTTTGGCGCATCTACTATGTGCCAGGCTCTGAGTTTTATGAACTAGTTTTTATGTGTGTGTGTGGCTTTTTATTTTCACACACAGCCTGTGCCCCAAATATGCTGGGTTCAGTTTTGTTATGTGCAGTGAAAAGGCCTGGGCTCAGACTCCGCCCATTTGGGACTCTTGATAATGCAGACTAACTTTATCTCTCAGAGGATAATCTCAGGAAGAGCTTAGGAAGCCGTGATTTCAGAAGCTCTGTGAGGTCACGACACTGGGGGTCCACACAGTGGGGTTGCAGTGCAACAAACTGTGTGGTCTCAGCATATCATTTTGTGACCTGAGTTTTAAAATCCTGTTATTCGTTGAGTGAATAGTTTGGATAAGGTGATTTCTAAGGGCCTGTCTGGTCCTTAAACTTTATGAGGATGTAAAACATGGTGGCATGGGGCATGTTTAACACATTTGTGAGAGCAAAAGCGTTTATGTCAATGGATGTGAATAATTACCTGCCAGGAGAACCAGCAGTTCATTTCAAATAATGGTCTAGGGAACATAGCATCTTGCATGTGCTCAATCTACACATGCTTTGGAGAATACCGAGATAATGGCTGAAGGAGGTGGTCTTCTGAGCTCCCGTGCATGAGCCTTATTTCCTAGGGAGTCGGCCGAGTGGCCCCAAGCCCTTGACACTTGGGGGATGGGATGCACGTACGTGTTTACACACCGATGTGAATCTGTTTAGTGAGGGAAGGTCAAGAGAGGGTGTGCTGTTTGTACGTATCCAATATCGTGATGGTTTAGTATGTCAGTCATAACACTTAGTTTGCTTTAAAGTTTTGAGTAGCACTAGGGGAGACGTGTAGCTTATCCACAGGGTGACAAGTATTGGAAGTCTAAGAAATCCCGTTCTCAGAACTTGCGATCTAAAATTTGAAAACAAAAACACAATACATTTGACTACTTCAGTGCATTTCCTTCCAGACGGATATGTCTTTTAAAAGCATCTGTCCCTGTGTGGCTGATTTTTTTTTAAATTGTGTCTTCTTATATTCTCCAAACTTTTTTTATTAAACAACAGAAATATATTTCTCACAGTCCTAGAGGCAGGGAAGTACAAGTTTAAGGTGTCAGCAGATTCAGTGTTGGTGAAAGCCCACTTTCTGGTTCATAGATGTTACAGGCCGCTTTCACCAGGGCACTCTTTTTTTTTTTAATTTTTTTTTTTTTTTTAGGGGGGAGGGAGGAGTGGAAAAAAGGGATGCCACGCGCCTGCGCCGTGCGCCCGCTCCCACCGGGCTAATCCCATTCTTAAGGGCTCCACCCTCGTGACCTATGCACCTCCCACAGGCCACACCTCCTCATACCATCACATTAGAGGTTAAGTTTCAACATATGAATTTTGGAGGGACACAATCATATAGACAATGTCCATACTATAGGACTCTTTCATAACCAAAGTTCAGTGATAAAGTGAGGTGACTTAACATTGATACAATGTCTGTTTGTTTGCATGTTTGTTTTTCCCAAACTTTCCAGCATGGGACTTCTTTTATAATGAGAAAGGAAGCAATGCATATAGTTTCATCATTTGGACATATCACTAACTAGACTAGCCTTGACCTCAATTAGTTCATTGATGTTAATCAGTGAGCTGGAATGCTTAGCTTCTAGTCAACAGCATTTTCTGGTTGGGGGTCATTGACTAGTGGGGGTCAATTGGAAAACACTATTCAGTGGGAGTCTTTGCACATTGTGCTGTTTTCCTTTCCTAGACTGTAACTGAGTGTCGCTCCCGTGGTATCTGGAGTCTCCCTTCTGAGCATGAAGACTGTCTCTCCTCTGAGACCAGATTCCTGGGTCTCTAGCCCTGGTTTCAGACCAGCACGTCATGTGCTCTGTTTGTTGCCTGTCGCTCCCTGACCCTGCTCAGTTGGTTTTTGTTTTTTTTTTTAATATGAATGAGTGGGTTGGACAAGTTGACATATAATAAGAAGCTGTGTCTTCTAAAATTCAATTCAGTTGTACAATCCCTTGAAAATGTATTGATTAAATTATTACTGAGTATGTACTACTCCCGAGGACCATTCCCGATATTTTAGACATGACAGTGAACAAAACAGACAAGATCCATGCCCTCATGAAGCTTGTGCTCTATCAGGGGAAACAGGAAATAGTAGACTTTTACAGTCACTTACCCAATAGTTATTTTACAGTCACTTACCTAATGTGATGTTAGTAAACAATTGCAGTGTGCTAGGGAAAAATACTGTTTGCTGTGCTACCAGCTACCCCAAATCAAACATAAAACAGCCAATTTACTGTTCTCTCTGAAACTCTGAGTCAGGAACGTGGACAGCACGTGGCAGGAATACTTGGTGTCTGCTCCACCACATCCGAAGTCTTGACTTGGATGGCTCTAAGGTGGGGAGTCAAAGGCCTCTGAACATGTCTTCACTTACATACCTAGTGATCAATGCAAGCTGTCAGCTGGGGTCTCAGCTGGGATTGTCAGCCACGACACTGCCACGTGGCCCCTTCAAGTGGCCCGGGCTTCCTCACAGAGTGGTAGCCTCAGAATAGTTGGACATATTCCGTGGTAGCTCATAACTGCAAAGGTGAGCTTCATCACGAACAAGATAGAAAGTACATCACCCTTTGTGACCTGAGCTTGGATGTTGCAGCGTCACTCTTACCCCATGCTACTGGTTATAAGTTAGTAATACCCACCTGTGTTCCAAGGAAGGGAAATTAGACTCTTTCTCTGCTTGGAGGGAGGAGTCATTGCAGGACTCTAAGAGAGAATGCAGGACTGGAGATACTGGAAAATACAATCTTTGGATGATGCAATCTTCTGTAGTAGAAAAAAAAGTAGAGCAAGGAAGGGAAATGATGTGTTCTAGGGATATGGGGTGAAGGAGGAGGCTCTAATATGGAATAGAGGAGAAGGGCGGTCCTTAATTAGAAGATGACATTTGAGCAGAGACATGATGGAAGAGAGTTCCAGATCAAGGCCAAGGTTGTCATGAGTAAATGAACAAAGAGTAAAACTAAAAGAAGGGGGGGGCTGACCGTTATAAGGCACTATACGCCATTATAAGGACTTTGGCTTTTACTCTGAATGAAATGGACAGGCACTGCAGAGTTTTGAGAAGCCAACTGATAATTATAATGATCTGGCAGTGGTTCGAAAGACTCATTCTAGCTACTATGTTGGGAGTAGATATAGAGAGGCCAGGGTGAAACAGGGAGACCAGTTAAGAGGCCTCAGCAGAAACCCAGGTGAGCTATAACAATAACTCAAGCCAGGATGTGGCAGTGGAGGTGGTGAGAAGTGGTTGGATTCTAAATATGTTTTCAACATAGAGCCAGTGGGATTTTCTCACACACTAGATGTGGCATGTGAGAGGAAGAGAGGAATGAACAGTGTCTCCAAGGTTATTAGTACCTGAGCCCCTAAAACAGGGATATCAAATTCATTGTCACCAGGGGCCACACCAGCCTTGCAGTTGCCTTCAAAGGGCCAAATGTAATTTTAGGACTGTATAAATGTAACCACTCCTTAGCAGTTAAGTGAGAGCCTAGTGCTGCCACCAGGTAGGAACAAGGTGCTAGGCCGGATAAAACAAGCCAGAGGGTCAAATTCAGCCCACAGACCTTGTGTTTGACACTTGTGCCCTAGAAGGAGGGAGTGTCACTGCCACTCATGGAGATGGGGAAGCTGCAGGTAGAGAAGATATGTGGGCAATGGAGCAACTGTGAGTTTAATTTCGAACTGAGTTTAAGATACTACTAAACACCATTATAGAGATAGAAAGTAGATAGTTGGGTGTATGAATCTGGAACTTGGGAAAGAAGCCTGGGCTGGAGAAACAACTTTGGGAGTTTTGGACATATAGGTTATCGTAAAGCCACAAGACCACTCATTCAAAGTCATTAACCAAGTGAGCAGAGAAAGAG